AATCTGTCCAAGACTGCAGTGTTCTGAGTCAGGCTTAAGAATCACAGAATCCAAAACCTATCCATCCATCTGTTATCTATATCCGCTCCAGCACCGTGCAGGTTTCCAGCAAACATGCCAGAAGTTATCCAGTGAGCCAGAAGAGCAATGCAAGTGTGCCGCAACTGTGCCTGTGAACATGTTACGATTTTGTGTAAACTTTGCCAAACTTCAACTCCAACTGTCTGAAAGAAAACTACAAATAACACCATAATGCTCGAAGCTCTGCCTCTGGGAAACATAATCCGACATGCTCACCTGGTAAGTCATGTAATTTAGTCAGACATCACTCGTTCATATAAACTCAGACGTACATTTCACCTCGGACAGTCATATAAACCTCACTCATTCATATCAACTCACTCACTCATGTAACTCTCGCATGTTCATATAAATATCACTGTTCATATAAACTCACTCGATCATATAAAACTCAACTGTTCATATAAACTCATTCATTCATATTGTGTTCATATGCTCACATATTCATAAACTCACTCATTCATATTAACTCACTCGTTAATATAAGCTTGTTTTAAGTTTATATGAATGATTTCAAATGTTCATATAAACTTGTATCTATAAACATATTCATATAAACTCACTGGTTCCTATAAACTCATTCATTAAAACATGTTCATGTAAACTTGTTTAAATAAACTCACTTGTTCATATAAACCTAGTTATTCATATAAACTCGTTCATATATCCTCACTCATTCATATTAACCTTTACAGTAATATAAACTAGTTTATATGAGTTGGATGAGTTTACATGTAGTTTCATTTAAATGAACTCACCTGCTCATACAAACCAACGTATTTATATAAACTCGTTAATCTAAACTGGATCATCTGAGCTGAGCTACGTGCTGGAGGCTTCAGTCAAACCGTCCTATGGGGTCAGAGTTCGTCGTCGTCTTCGCTCGCTGCGATGTCCAGCTCCTTGTCTTTGCGTTCGGCGCTCTCCGTAACGAACTCCCGCTGCTGCTCCTCCAGTTCGCGTAGCTCCCCCTGCAGGCGCTCCAGGTGAAGCGCGCGGCGGTTTCTGAGCAGGCGGCGGGGGAACGGGTTCATGTCGCTGAAGGCGATGCTCGTCAGCCTCCTGCAGGAAACACAGCGACAAGAAACTCACTCAGCACACCACCGGAGGAATGTCATCGAGATGTGAGAAACCTCTGCAGTGGTGCAGCGAAGGAAGACACAGCCTGATCTGGCTTCAAAAAACTCACAAAAAAGTCAAAAGACGCAATAGAAATATTATATATTAACTCCATAGGACACGCAAATCACACACATCACTTCTAGTCATCTGAAATGTGAACATTCACACCATCACTGGGTCTAACTGCTCAGTCTGTGATGCTGAAAAACACTGACTGTGATGCATTAAGATTTCTTGGTTGTCATTTTTAACTTTTTTTTTTTTTTTTTTTTTAAACACCTCACATCCTGTAAATGCCACAGATTTCATTTAAATGAAGACAACACAAAAAATGAATTAACTTCCTTGCTCAATGCTGAGAGGATTTTTTATTATCATAGTCTGGAGCAAGATTAAAAACTAATTTGATTCTGATGTAGTATTAATTTGTCAGATTAAAAAATAAATAAATAAAACTACTTACGCTTCGGTGTTAAGAACAAAAACATCCTCATCAAAAAATCTGCCATAAAAATGTTGTGTATTTATAATATTTTCCATTTTCACTGAGCAGATTTTTAACCAAATCCGTCCCGATCTGATTATAACTTCCAAATATTTATTCATTTTGAAGATTTTAACCCTTGAAATGCCAGTTTGTTTACAGTGTCGCTGGAGTTTTTGTTGTTTTTTTTAACATTACAATCCATCATTATCTCTTTTTAGAAATACTTATAAAAAAATATATAAATCTATTTTCTGAATTATCACAGTCTGGGATATGTGAATAATTAGCAACAACACTGACTCTGATGCATTTTCATTGTTTGTGCATTGTAAGATTTAAGAAAAAAAAATCTCATTCAAGACCTTGAAGACAAAAATGTTCTCAGAAAAAAAAAAAAAAGTTGTATGTTTATATCATTCTCCACTTTCACTGAAAGCTTTAAAGAAATGCTTCTCAGTCTGAGCAGGTGAATGCATACCTGCTGTCGGAGATGGTCTTTGTGAAGAAACGCAGGTACTGGTAGATCTCAACGCTGTCATGGATCTTGAGGATGTCGTTCTCTTTGTATTTGAACAGAGCCAGAGCGTATCTGAAGATCACCTGCAGCACAGAGATCACCGCTGAGACACAAAGTCCAATACACATCACAATACAACACGACTGAGGATGGAACAGCTCCTGCTGCAGCGAGCTGCCAAGTCTTTCTGTTTCTAACATACCGACTGTCCTCAAGAAACACAAATCAACAACAAGCTGAAAAAAAATCACTTCACTAATTCTGATAATGACTTTAGGATAGAAAAGACTGCATGTAAATGTGAGTCAGCTTTGCCGTGTCGGTGCATTCGTGTGATGTCTGTATTGCTGTAATGGTGCGTTAAGGTGTTGTTTGTTTTTCTGTCGTGGTGCATTCAGGTGTTGCCAGTATTTCCATCATGGTGTACTCAGCTTGTCTGTATTTCAGTTGTGGTGTGTTCAGGTTTTGTCTATATTGGATTGTGTTGCATTTTGGTGTCTGTATTGTCGTTGTGGTGCATTTGTGTGATATTTGTGTTACTGTCAAGGTGTATTTACGTCGGGTCTGTATTGCTGTAATGGTACCTTCAGGTGATGTCTGTATTTCTGTTGTGGTGTGTTCAAGTGTAGTCTGTTTAAAGGTTTTGGTGTGTTCAGGTGTTTGGTACCTTTGTGCCCTCGTACAGAAAAGCGTCCCACAGCGGCAGCAGGATGTCGCTCGGCAGACTCTCCACAAACACCACCAGGAACCAGTTGAAGGTGATGAGCGACACGTCGATGTTGTGATCCTCGAAGTGAGCCGCCAGCCGGGGAAGCTTCTCCACCATGAAGTCCTTCAGCACCCGCTGGTCCGCCTGAGCGCAGAGACGATTAGCCAATCACACGATCAACTGCACTAACCGTCAGTAATGCTGATCGGAGGGTCTCCTAACCTGAGAGGCCACCAGGTTCTTGGTGTAGTAGTCCTGAGGCATGATGGCTTCCACAACGGCCACCAGACACCAGAAGGCGTCCTCCTCACTCTGGAGGACCAGCAGAGCAATGGCCGCCAGCCTGGGAGACACACGCCATCGCACATCACATGACCACATCATGCAACAAACACATGCATCAAACAACGATGCTGCAGCAATACAAATATAACTGATCATAAATATCAACACTAAGAGCCTACAATATTATTAATTATACCAATTAACCTGACTAAATATTGTAAATACAACACAGTGTCAAACATTATACAATTTTATTTGACTAATTTAAATATTAACAACAAAACTGTACAGTATCATAGAGTGCACAAAGGCTAAAGGCCATATAATATTATTAATGCTGCAAATTTTCTGGACTAATTTAAGTATTCATGTTTAGACCGTACAGTATTCTACCTGACTAATTTAAATTTCAAGGTTAAGAACCTATAATGCGCCGGGGTCAACACAAACATTGTTGTCATGGTGCATTCAGGGGTTGCCGTGTATTGTGTATGTGTCCTGTACCTGTTCAGTCCCTGGCAGTAGCCGATGACGGGGTTCTGCCAGGAGAAGGCCAATAGGACGCGGCGGAGCTGTTGGAGGACGGGGCTGGACGGTGAGGAGAAGTGCTGGTTGGTTGTCAGGGTCCGGTGGAGGTCCAGCTGGATCTGTCTGGAAGCCGAGTGAGGGGACGTCCTGCTCTTCTCACACAGCTGGAAACACAGCAGTGGGATTACTAACAAGGGCGTGTTTTAGGAGCCAGGTCTGAACAGGTGTGAACAGGTGTGAACAGGTGTGGACAGGTGTGAACACTTGTGGACAGGGGTGACCAGGTTTGAACAGGTATGGACAGGTATGGACAGGTGTGAACAGGTGTGGACAGGTATGGACAGGTGTGAACAGGTGTGGACAGGTATGGACACTTGTGGACAGGTGTGACCAGGTTTGAACAGGTATGGACAGGTATGGACAGGTATGGACAGGTGTGGACAGGTGTGAATAGGTGTGAATAGGTGTGGACAGGTGTGAACAGGTGTGGACAGGTATGGACAGGTATGGACAGGTGTGACCAGGTTTGAACAGGTATGGACATGAGTGGACAGATGTGAACAGGTGTAGACAGGTGGTCTTGTACCTGCTGGTAGCGCTGTGGGTGGTGCTCTCTGATGGACCTGGTTCTGGCTCGGACCACCCAGCGCCACACTCTCTGCCGGTACTCCCGAGGGACGCCTCCTCGCAGCAGAGCTTTGAGCTCCGGTGACGGACAGAGGTCGTGTTCTGACCTCCCGGCCAGGTACTGAGCCCAGCGGCTCAGCAGGGGGCGCTCCGCGGCGTTCTGCAGTGAAACACAGTGTTAACACAGCGTTGGCTCTGATTCTGCCTCCTCTGAAGCTGATCGACATTATTGATTTATCAGCTGGTCCAATGGGATAGATCTGCAAACATCAATAATAATGTGACGTGATGCTGTGGATCACATCGACTCCTGTGGAAACAAAACCATCAGATCTGAAAGAATGGATCAGTTAATTAAAGAAAATAACCAAGTCTTCATTTAGTCCATTTAAGCTTACACCCATCTGGAACAACCCTGACACCCTCCAAAACAAAACAATGATAAATTTCACTCAACGAAAAAATAAAGAAATAAAACAGTTAGAACCAGATCATCGTTCTGCCTGCTGGACCGGGCATGATAAATAAATGTGCAGCGGAGCCTGTGGCCCTCAGTGGTGTCTGCAGGCACTCATCAGACTGTCTGGATTCACCTGTCTGCAGCCTGAGAGGTAAAACTCAGGTAAACATTTAGTTTTAGCATCATCTTTTTAATGAAGCGCTGTCTTGTCTGGATTAGCAGCTGCAGTTGGAAGAGGCAGCTTTAATAAGTCTAACCGAACAGCGCGACCGAGTCGCCCGAGTCCACAGAACTGAGGGTTTTCACCTGGTGCAGCAGATTGTGGGAGCGGATCTCCAGCGCCTGGATCTTCGCCAGCAGCTGCATGTCCTCCACCTCATAGTCTGGGATGATCTTGAAGCCGTACTCATCGTGATCCCTGAGGACACAGAGGAGGTTTTACGTTCCCCACTGCTGCCATGTCACGGCTTTCTGGTGCACTGATTTCACTTGAACATCTGGTGTTTATTGACTCATTGAATTTAGTGTTTTCATGTTGTTTTTTAAAGTCCGTGTGTTTCCCAATTTACCAATCATTTGTTGCATTAGTTAATTTTGTTGCATTTTGCACAACACAATCAAACTAAAATACTAAAGTATTTCTAATCTCTTCTTTTACAACAGAACGACACACATGTTGTGTCCACGCTGCTGTTCAGGTGTACCTGTCTGCACTGAGCTCGCTCTTTAGCTCTCCTCTCAGAGCGTCCTCGATCATCTTCTGCACGGCCTCTCGCTGCACAGGATCCAGAGATTTGGTCTCCTGCAGCTTCCGCAGGACGCCCAGGTATTGGCTCTGGACCTGACAGTTGGTAGCCTCCAAGTACGCACACTAAAGCCAATCAGATGGCAGAAGACAGAGATGTAGCAAGTCAAAGGGCAGGAGAGAGAGATTTAGCCAATCAGAGAGCAGGAGATATAGATGTAGCAAATCAAACGGCAGGACACAGAGATTTATCCAATTAGAAGGCAGGAGACAAAGATTTAGCCAATCAAAGGGAAAGATACAGAAATTCAGCCAATCAGAGGGCCGGAAACAGACATGTAACCAATCAGAGGGCTGTGAACACAGGTTTAGCCAATCAGAGGGCAGGAAACAGACATGTAACTCATCAGAGGAAAGCAGACAGACATGTAGCCAATCAGAGGGCAGGACGCAGAGTTAGCAGGTTAAAGGACCCACCTTCACCAGCAGGCTCTTCTCCTGCTCGGAGCTTTTCCTCCACAGTTTTGTCAGCTGGTAGATCTCCGAGTTCAGGAATTTGTTCTGAGTCTTGTAGGCCTCGATGTCGTCCTGAACACATTCAGAGATTTTAGGCTTCATCCAAGATTCAGACTGTTTTCAAAGAATCAACCTGAACTGAAGCTCACCGAGTTACTGTGACAAGTTCATGTTCAAAGGATCAAATACAAACAACACAGAAAAAGAGCTGCATCTGATGGAGGAGAGAAAGAATGACAGGAGTATTAACTTACCCACAGTCCTCAAACACTCACTCACTCATATGCGGATGATACACAACTGTACCTGTCTTTTAACCCCAATGATTTTAATCAGTTACAATCTCTGAATCTCTGCATCCAGGACCTGAAATGCTGGATGGCTCAAAATTTCCTCCAGCTAAACTTAGACAAAACCAAAGTAATTATTATTGGTCCTGGATCAGCCACAGCAGCAACACACTTAGGTTCATTATCCTGTAATAAAGCTGCAAAATGTAAAAATCTTGGGGTCATCTTTGATGAAAACCTGAACCTGAACCAGCATGTCAGCTCAGTGGTGCAGTCTTGTTTTATGCAGCTTAGGAGACTCTCTAAGGTGAGGTCAGTTTTATCCAGACATAATTTAGAAATTGTTATTCATCTCGTTTAGACTGCTGTAACTCTCTGTACACTGTTCTTAACCAGCAGAGTCTACACAAACTACAGCTGGTCCAAAACGCAGCAGCCCGACTCCTCACTAGATCCAAAAAGAGAGATCACATTACTCCTATTTTAGCTTCCCTTCATTGGCTTCCAATTAATTTTAGAATAGATTTAAAGATTTTATTGTTAACTTATAAAGCACACTCTGGACTTGCACCTCAATACATTTCTGATCTCCTCACCCCATATGTGGCCGGTCGTAGCCTGCAGTCCTCAGCCAAGGCTCTGCTCACCGTCCCAGAGTCAAGGCTGAGCACCAAAGGTGACCGGACCTTTTCTGTAAGAGCCTCCACCCTCTGGAACCGTCTCCCTGAGGAGTTGTTTTATGAATGTACTTTTACTCTGTTTGGTGGCAGTATAAAGGGCATTTTATCTTCTGACTGTTTCATTCCTTCCTTTATTGTCTTTCAACTGTCTTCTTTTACTGGGTTTTATTCTTCTAATATATATTCATATTGTTTTATTCTATTTCATGCTTTCGCCTTCACCAGTTCTTTTTTTTTTTTTGCTTGTTACTTCTTTCAATGTCCTTATTTTTTGTTTTCCTTACACTTCTCTTTGAATCTGTAAAGCACTTTGTAGCCCTGTTTTGAAAAGTGCTATATAACTAAAGTTTATTATTATTATTATTATTATTATTATTAATAATAATAATAATAATAATAATAATAATAATAATAATAATAAATGAATCATCTGTGATGTGGGGTCCCATCAATAAAATAAACTGAAACTGAGCCTAAACTTTTGATATTTCATCAAAATCACTTCTTTCAAGGTGTCACATGAAAAAATATTTTGCATATTTCTTTGTCATTTTGCGTTGTGGTTCAGTCGTTTTGTGTTATTGTGTCTCATTTATGTCATTCATTGTCTCATTTTACGTGTTTTGTGTCGGTTCGTCTCGCAGTTCAACCTATTAAATATTTACTGTCGGTCACAGCTGAGTCAGTCGTGGAGAATCAGTTGCGCTGATGAGAGAAGACGTTTTTAAGTCTTCACAGAACCTGGTTAGAATCTGTGGTTTATTATCAGTTGGTTCGTAATAAATTGCGATTTTGATGACATATGATTTTAATCTCAAATTGGATTCATTCTTCTGATGGAATTCCACATCAAACAATACATTAAATGTTGGAAAGTTGAAAATCTGATCCTTCTTCGTGGCTCCAGTTTGTAGCTCTGACATATTGTGTAATTTAGGTGATTTCTTCAAGTTAACGTTCTGTTTTTCTGGGGTTCAGATAGTTAAGGAAGTGACTGATTTTCATCCCGTATCCTTCTGTCTCAGCGACTCCAGGTGTCAGAAAAAACAACAGCTCTTCATTAACAAGCACCGTCCCCAATAAACTACCACTATACTTGATAAAGACACTTCACCTTGAGGTTGTTCATCTCCTGCTGAAGCTGTTTGGAAGGCTGAGAGTCCAGAGTGCCGCTGGACGGTGAGTCGGAGCGCCGCGGGTTGGACAGACAGGCGGTCAACTGATCAGACAGCTTTATGATCACCTGAAACAGTCGTACAGTGAGTCCAGCTGCCACCAACCTGCAGCGTCAGTCCAACAAACTGCATCTTTGCTGCTTCACACACACTTTTCTGGACGGCATCAACGAAACTGAACCGTCCAGTCACATCTGAATCCTGAATCTCCTGGTCTGAGGCTCGAGGGCAGCAACGAGGAGACACAGTGACCCAAAGTCAGCTTGAACACGTCCCAACTCATTCTGGACAAGTTTTGAATGATTACAAATAAATTGGGCGGCGCAGTGCTGCAGTGGTTAGCACTGTCGCCTCACCGCTGGAAAGTCCAGGTTCAAATCTTTCTGTGTGGAGTTTGCATGTTCTCCCTGTGTGGGTTCTCTCCAGGTTCTCCGGCTTAATTGGTGATTCTAAATTGTCCGTAGGTGTGAATGTCAGTGTGCTTGGTTTTCTCTCTATGCGGCCCTGCGATGGACTGGTTACCGGTCCAGGTGAACCCTGCCGTTGCCTAAGTCAGCTGGGATAGATTTCAGCCTCCTGATACCCTACTGAGATACAACGGTGTATAGATGATGGATGGATAGAAATCTTTTTCAGGTCATTTTGGATTAAGGATGAGTTGTTATTTACACGTTTTGAGTCGTGTGGGACACATTTTCAGGGCATTTTGGACAAATGAGTGTGGTTTGGGACCGTTTTGGGGTTATTTTAGACAGATTTAGTCTCAGTTTAATCAGGTCATGACACATTTTGGACAGGTTCAAATCATTATGGACAAATTATGAGTCATTTGGGATCAATTTTGTGTGGTTTCGGACTTTGTACTTTGACAAGGCACATTTTCAGTCATGTAGGACAAATATGTGCAGTTTTGAACATATCTTGGGTCATTTTGGAAACAATATAAGCTATATGGACACATTATATTTTTATTCTGGACAATTTCTGGACAAGTTTAAGCCAAATTTGGACAAATATTAACAAATTTTAGACAGTCAAACTGAAGTGACTTGTGGGCGTCCTCAGGATCCACCATCACATTTTGCTGCTATGTTTACGAAGGTCACACATATAAAAAAAACAGACCGGCTGGCACATTGGTGATCAGGTCAGACAGTAAGACAGCGATCTAAGAACAAACACGAAGCTGTGTGAAGCAGTAAAAGCTTCGCGATGGCAGTAAACAGTGGTCCTCCAGCTCGTCCTCACCTCCTGCTTGGCGTTGTTCTTCTCCCTCAGCATCCGGACGTTGTCCTGCAGCTCAGCCAGCTGTACATCTCTCTGAGCCAGGCTGCTCCTCGCCGCCTCTGCCTCCATCTTGGCCTCCTCCAGACGGCCCCGCAGGTCAGCCGCCTGGCGCTCGCGGTGGCGCAGCAGCTCCAGGCGCTTCTGCTCACCCTCCTCTGCCAAGAACTCCGCACAGGTTCGCTTCTCCAGCTGAGCCGCCTCCAGAGCTTTGTGGAGGATCCAGACCAGCTCCTAGGCAGAACACAGGACACTATGACTACTCTAATTTATTATTATTATTATTATTATTATTATTACTTTGTGTGTGTGTGTGTGTGTGTGAGTGAGAGAGAGACAGACTGATCAGTGATCAATCACCTTCTGAGCTTTGACCTCCTCCATCAGCATCTGTTTGTCCTGCTGCAGACGGGTCGACCGCTCGGAGGAGGAGGATCTTGTGTCTCTGCGGAGGACCGCCATGGTGGACGTGCTGCGAGCTTTTGTCCTCCTGCTGCGACTGTCCAACAGTGACGGGGACTCCCTACCCTCCGCCGGACACACCTGAGCCGCTGGATCGGCCAATGGGAGGGCAGGGGGCGGGGCCAGTGGCTCGGTGGGAGGACCGGCAGCCGAAGGTGCTGACATGTGACATGAAGGGGTTAAACTATGAAACCATGTCAGAAAACACACGGCTGAGCAGTACAACATGGAGAGAACAGGACTGAATCAGGATCAACAAGTCCTGAGTTCAGACACTGAGAGTCCAGGACTGATTGCGACATGTGTAAGTCCCAGTAGGTCAGAAAAACATCAAAATCAAATAAGATAATTCTTTATTGATCCTCATATGGGATATTCGGGATCGTTATCAGGTCTAAAGGGCAGCACAGCCACCTCCTTAGTGTAGCACTGTGTAAACTGGTTAGTACAGCTGCTGTAGAATTCTGTAGTCCTGTGTAGTACTGTGTAGTACTGTCTAGTACACTAGCAGAAGTGTGCAGTACGGTGAAGTATTCTGCTGTACTCTGTAGTACTGTGTGATCCTGTGTGATCCTGTGTGATCCTGTGTAACACTGTAACACTGTGCTGTACTATGTAACACTTTGTAATACTGTATGGTACTGTGTGGTACTGTGTGGTACCTTGTGTACTGGCCGCGTTGCTGGTTTCTGCAGCATTTGGGGGAATCCACGGCGGCGCTTCAACATGAAACACACTCTGGCTCCACTCCTGAGACGTTCTCTTTCTCAGACTGTGGACGGAGTTTCTGCTCAAGAACAACAAATGTGAAACTGACAGCAGAACACGTTTGACGCAGATCAGACTCTTGGTTTTAGTATTTCAGGCTGTTTGAAGCTCGGATCCGTAAACACTCACTGTATCTCGATGAGCGGATGTTTGATGGACATGTTCGCGAGCGGCGTCCGTTGTGTCGTCAGGTTGGCCGCCTCCTCCCCCACCAGACCCAACGGACTCTTCAGCACCGGCAGGAAGTCATCTAACGGACACCAAACAGAACTCAGTCCACAGAAAGATCCAGAAAGCTTCTCAGCAACACTTTCAGGCATGTCACATTCATTACTGTTCACAATCATTTAACACTGATGTACTACAATAAATACTGCTGTAATACCACTATGGAATACACTACTGCTGTGCTGATGCATTCTATATCTGCATTCTGTTTTTCAATCATATTTATACATAAATACTACATACAAAGTACAACAAATACTAAGGAAATGTGTGTAAACCTTGAAGAAAGTAATATAAACATCTCTCATTATTCTGGCATTTAGCAAATTGAAATAATGTTGGTAATCCTAACTGACCTAAAACAGGAAAGTTTGATTTAATGTCAGATGGTGAGAAAAAAAAAGTTTTATGTCTTTTTATACAGTGAATGTAAACTTCTGGTTTCAACTGTATCTATAATCTGCGTATTAGAAAGTTGTATTATTAGTACAGTCGTTACCCTAGTACTGTGTGTACTGGTTAGCAGAGCTGCTCTACTACTGAATAATACTGACTGGCAGTTCCATATGCCAAGGTTGAAGGAGGAACTAGTGATGGAGGCTTTTGTGAGGGAGTGGAGGTTTACAGGGATGTACTTTCTGTAGCAGATGCGTTTTTTTCAAAAGCTTTGGATGACATTGATGATGTTGTAGCACATGGTGGGTGACGCAGTGTAGCTGATAGGAAAAGACTAAGCAGTCGGTGTCCTTGCTCGGTGGACTCACACAAGTAGACTTGTAGGTCTTTACCCAATTCAAGGCTGACATTTTCACTGACGCTACAGCATAGCATGTGTGTTCAAATAAGACAAAATAATTCTTTATTGATCCCAGGAAGTATTATGGCTGAACCTGCCCCTTTTATATTTTCAGCCAGGAAACAATCGAGGGAACAGTCCACCTATTGAAACCCAGAGAGTGAAACCGGGGAGTGCTTTGCTCCAACAAAGTCTGACAGCGACCTGACAACAAGTCAAACTGAAAACCAAAGCTCCAAAAATAATTACAGACTTACTGCTTTCTCCTATGTTCTAGATCTCAGCTCGCTCTGGTTAGTATAGCTGCTGTGTGTATGGGAAATGGTCTGCACTTCTGTAGCGCTTTTATCCAAACAATGTGTTTCTCATTCACTCACACATTCATACACCAGTGGTGACAGAGCTTCCATGCAAGGTGCAAGGCAACTTATATACTCCATGTATCATTAAAATACTACTAATTGGCATTGTTCATTATGAATGTAATTGGCACTTATTGTTTATTAAAACCGACCCTAACAATAGGCCATAATGGCTGAATCCTCCACAGCCCGACTTCATGTTCTCCTACAAAACCCTCAGCCGTAATCCCGTAATCCCAGTTAGTAACAATCACCTGTTCGCCTTCCAAGATGGGTCTTAATGTGACAGATAATCCTGCTGGATATCAGAGGGCTATGACCTGAGCAACAGCGACTAGAGGCATTGTAACCCCTCTAAACCTCAAAACCAGCCAGCAGGTTCAACAGGCCTGAACTCTGCAGCCTGCAGGGGGCACCAGCAGCTCGTTGCACCGTCAGTACTTGCATGAACTTCTGTCGTAAATGTAAGAGGCTGTTGAGGACTGAAGCTGCTGCGCAAGTCAGGACACGAGCAGAATACCTGAGAACCAGGTGAGCTGCTTCGACCGCAGAACAAGAGTCAGGCTGACAAACAGCCGACTATCGTCCCACACAGTCACATGCACACAGTTTAACGCTCGTTATTTTCACGATATAAATTATATAAATTTCAAGACATGAAATCTGTCCTGAATAATTCATTTTTTTCACAACATAAAAAACAACCTGAAAAGTGAAATAGGTTCTGAACTCAGTGTCTAAGTTTTATTCTTTCCAGCGATGTCTGTTGGCTGGTTTATCTTTAGTCAGTTGGTGTTTCTACGTTCAGCCGCCTGCACACATTTAAGTAGTGTGGACGTGGGTGGAGGTGCGGTTACTGTTCCATGAAGTCAGTCCAACAACAGGCAATGATCGTGAGCTCCACGGAGCAACATCAAAGAGCGCCTCAAACCCTCAAACGCATCACATCCTGTTCGGTGTTGCCTCATTAAACACAATAAAGGGACGGTTAAACATTCTGCTTCCCCCCAAACAGCTCCGGTGTCCTCTGTGAACAGTGCTAACATTTATTTAGCTAGAAAATGAACAAAAAAAAAGAAAAGAAAAGAAAAGAAATTTTACTTATTTTCTCCTTTTTTTATCTACAGATTTCTTTCTGTATTTTTGAAATGTGAAAAAATATCAGTAAGACGACAAAAAGAGACGATGAATGTAAAATACAATTTTAAAAATGTGTGATTAATTAAACAATCTCCATTTTTTTCATTTGAAATAAATATATTGTTCTGATGCATTTGCAATTTCATCAGAATTTGATAAATATGCCCGTTTCATTTACAAGATAAAAATCCTTAAATTCTTAGCCTGTCAACACATTTGTTAAATTACATACAGTTAGTGACAAATAACACAAGCAGAAGTTTTGGTTCAGTCATTTTACACAGATTTACAGACACGCGCTGTCTTGTGTAATTCCAGAAGATTTCACAATAAAATTTATGAATATACAATATATGGCCAGAAGTATTTGGACAGCCTTTGGGACAAATACCATATCAGTCACAGATGCTGCAAAAGTCCTCTGTCTACATACTTTTGACCAGATAATGTATTTGTTTCTAAGAATTGAGCACATTCCTGTGCATGTTATAGTATCTGATTATCCAAAGGGTGTATATATCAGCATACTTCTGTATGGGTTAAAATGTCTGCAGATACAGTATGTGTCCAAAAGTATGTGGACACTCATGACTATAATCCTTATACATGTAACGCTTTACTGCCCACATACATTTGGACACCGAACGTTCTTAATTCAATTAGATGGTTTGGAGAAGAAGAAGTATTGAGCAAAGCATGTAGACTGAATGGGAGTATTCAATATTATTCAAATAAACAAAGCATTCAGCTTTTGGCCAAGAAGCTCAAAGTGAAGTAGTCCATCTGTAGATTGTGTCTCCTTTGTTTCTATCTTCAGTGCTGTAAACTCAGCAGGACACATTCCTCCACAGCCACCATGTTCATTTACAGTTGGAGTCAAGGAAAAGCCGTGATTAGCTTTAAGTAGCCACTATTTCCTCCTCGAGGACTCGCTGTGTATCAGTCCATCTATAGAACAAATACACTTTCATCCTCTTATCACATTTAACACTGACAGAAACATAGCTGATCTTTATAGGCGTGGACTGAAATTAACAGCTGCCTGGTAGGAAGGAAATTTATCTTTAAAGTGACAGATGATTCAGGAAATGATCACCAGGGACAGAAAAAAAACACGGTTCAGTTTCTAACAGTCTGCTCTGGTCGGTGTTTGTGGGTCATTTTGTCGGCCTGTGCAAAGCTCTGCTGGGATTTACATGAGCTCACATAACTCGGGTACTAATCAGGATGATTAAAGTGCAGCAGCTCAGTCCTGTAAAAACACCACCCTGACCCAAGTATAAAACCAAGACCGGTTTCTGGCAAAGGACTTTCTGAGAAAACAACCACTGTGACAGTTGCCCTGTTGGAATTCTTCTAATCCAATCAGGAGATGCTACTTCTCTGGCGAAAGTGAAACATGAAATATTTCTGATTAAAGCACAACGGTAAACCCATATCAGTGTGTGTTGTCAGTCAGAGATCCCCTCTGTGCTGTCACAATCATGGTGACTCATTCACATGACTCCATGTTTCAGAGAACAGTGAGTCAGTCTGAGCCGCTCTATCGCCTGGAGGGAGGATTTCCCAACTCTCCTGGGAGGATGGAAGGCAAACCACAGGACACACCCACGTCCTTAACATAAGCAACAAAACAGAAAAATAACAGAAACAGGGAGGAGGAGGCACACTAAGATAAACCTCTAAGACTTCACACAGTTACAGACTGAAACCAGCACAGAAGACTAAAAATATGAACTTAACTCACCAACTAACCTGGTAAACCCTCAACAGACCAGTTAAACCAACAGTCACACATGTCAAACCACCATCAGACCAGGTAAATGACTGCCAAACCAGTTGAACCATCATCAGACTGGTTAAACCCTCAACAGACCTGTTAAACCAA